GGCAAAACTGTGTTTGTCTTTGTCAAAAAAAAAAGATTGAAAATAGAAAACGAAAATGAAAGATGACATTAAATTCTTATGCTATATACCCTCCTGGGGCCCTAATTTGGTGAATAAAAATATTCTATTCTATTCTATTCTATAATCTAGTCCATTAGACTCCAAGAGCTTTTTACGTCACTGGAAAATTCTTTTCAAAATTTCTAGTAATGTATCATATAAGCAAAGAAACCATAGGCGACTCTCAGCATCGGAAATGTCAAGTTCGAAATCTTTATAGGGTTTCATTTGAATATATGATATTTCTAGAGGCAACGTTACCAGTCCGTGCCCTTTTACTCTCTACTGTGCATTTCTTTTATGAAAACACAACATGTAACAGGTAAGTCAAACGTGCATTATCCTCTAAAGAACAAACGCTAATACTGAGATAACTCATGCCTATTCATGGATAAAACTATGGAAAACTGACCATACCTCTTTGTGTCAAATCCTCAAAAGATAAGTTAATTAAAAAAATATCCATAAAATGCATTCGGATGTCAGCATTTAATGACCAGTTGATTGATTGTGATTTATATATATAAGTTGATCGTCCTTTAACACCTGAAGGCAGTGACACGACAGCTTATTCATGTTGTATTTGTAAATAAGACAATAGTACGGCAGAAAATATCCATGAGTTTTAGGAGGTAAGCAAACATTCAAATCTGTATCATGAAATTCTCATGCCATTTTCTTTGATTGCGGTTCATTATTGAAGTTCGTTTATCAGTGCTAGTCAGGTTGTCAGATTTACCGTTTTTAAGTATACACAAATGTGATCCGTTCTTTGCAATTTGAATGTACAGATTTTTTTTCGCGTTTTGGGTTTTGACGAAGGACCATATGTAAATTGGAAGAGTTGGTAAATGACCACTAAACAAGTGTGAGGTTTGCGAACCCGAAAACCTTTTCAAACCCTATACTTTCTAAAATGCATGCATGTACGGAGTAAGGAAAATTACAGTTTTCAAAGTAAAAGTCCAGTCAAAAGTTTTATTTAAAGTCGATGTCCACCGCGCATAATTTACAAATAACATAAAGTATGAAGATCGTTTGAATCGACTACACTATGATTTACAATACAGTATTTTCAGACCAAACAATACACATAACATAACTTGGGACAATACACATATACAAAGCATGAGATATTTAACAAATAATAGAAGAAAAAATCGCAAAAGGTTCCGCGGAACACTGAGTCTCGCCAGCCATTGCTGCTGTTAGAGTAAAAATGAAATGTTGACTGCCAAAAACTAAGTTCATTTTTTCAGTAAAGTACGGGGAAAAACTTTTTTTTTCTTCTTCAGATGGCATTTCTTGATCTCGAAGAAGCTTCTGTCCAAATATCATTACATTCCATGAAGGTTTGACAAAGTTAGTGATGTCTTAAAAGATTTAATCCCAGCTAGACTTCATCTAAATTTTAACTTAAAAAGTCCATTTATCAGTGAAATACACATGCTCTTTTGGGAATTGTCCTCCCTTTTTCTAAATATGTTTTTGTTTATAGCAGTAATATTTCTTTAATATGTTAACTTATTCTTATGTTAACGTGTTCTTGCTCTTATACATACGATATTAATATAAAAGTTTTTTATGCCCCTCTGTTCTTATTTTCCTTGGTTGTCGGAAAAAAAGAATAGAGGGGCAACATATATCAGGCTGATATCCAGTTGAAATTAAGCAAAATAAATGGAACTTTTTATTAGTGAAGGTAAAATGGCCAAGTCGGTATATTTAAATTGTTTACATCTGTTTCTATACGGCCTTAAAAGTTTAATCAGAGTGCACAATTTAGGATTGTTTGCATCTACCGGTATTCTTATATACGTGTTTATACTTAATTATAGTATGTAGCCTCGAGATCTTTGTAATTTAAATCAAAGACAAATTTTCACAAAAGAGTAGATTATAGAGAATACTAACGAGAGGTAACGCTATCAGTGGATTAGAACGTACGGGAAGACAATAATTCAATAGCATAACATTTAAGAAGATTTTGATAAGATAAAGGATTTTCTTTTAAAAGAAAGTCCATGTACACATGTTTTTATTAGCCATTCAAGTATATAAAAAATGTTTTATTTCTATTTAATGTGCTCACAAAGAGCATATTACAATATGACATTATTTAAACAAAAACATAAAACAATAATGCAGTATACATACAAAGAAAAGAAAAAGAAGTTTGACGTGAATATGTAACAAAAAATTTGTTCCGGCGTGACATTTGTTCCGCCGGAACAAATTTCATAGGAAATATGTTCCACCGGAATTTATATCACAGAAAATATGTTCCAGCACTGTAAAATTTGTTCCGGAACTTATTTTTTGGCCAAATGTGAAATAAGTTCCGGAACAAAAATCATAGCTCCATGAATTTTGTTTCAATTAATATTAAAAAGTTTTAAATAAGTTCCTGTGACATTAGTTTTAAACGAACATGTAAATATTTCATAGAAACTCATGAATAAGTTCCGCTCAATCATTATTGCAAACCGAAACATTTTCTTGTTACACTTAAATTATAATGCAAGCTATAAATGCTGTACTGAGTGTACTTGCATGGGATACATTTGCAATTGAAGGCATGACTGTAACTATAGGGTGAAGATAAGAAATAAAAGCGATGGTAATGTATCATAATTTGTATTTATGTTTTATGCGGTATTCCTCCTTGGTCCCTGTTAACTGTCATGGCCCTGTGTTCTAGTCATACATCTACGTAGGACATGGCACAGTTTCAAAAGAGTGTGTCTTTTTTTTCTACATTACTTTTGATATTTATAAATGATCAACTCACTTTGTCCTTTTCAAATTAGTACATATGTTCCTCTTAAACTATACTTTTTTTTCTGAATGATTTTTCTTATTCTAATCTTTTCTGGTTCAAAAGTGTCATTTAGATATTTTTTACAGAGTATATAATTCAACATTTGCTATACTCCATAGGATCCAAACTGGGTGATTTACACTTTTTATCTATTATATTATTAATATAATACTTATTTTTATAATGCACTTGAATGATAACTTTAAACACACTGATGACAAATGCTCAGTATATAAGATAACTTGTTTAACCAGTGGAACATATTTCACAGACAAGGAACTTATTTCACCAGGTGAGGAACAAATCTCACAAACTCAGAACTTATTTCACCAGGTAAGGAACAAATCTCATAAACCCGGAACTTATTTCACTAGGTAAGGAACAAATTTCACCAACACGGTACTTATTTCACCAGGTAAAGTGTGGAACTTATTTTATAGAGATGGAACAAATTATATAGAAATTACCTGTGAAAAAAGTTCTCCCAGAACATATTTCCTATGATATAAGTTCCAATGGAACTTTTTTCACAGGAACAAATTTTGGCTCACAAAGGAACTACATACACATAATATGAATAAATAGATATATATTTAGTATATAAAACATTTAACTTTTTTTTCTAATTTGAAATCTCATATGACTTTGATATGCATAAGCATAAATTCCACTGAAAAACTCCACAGAAAGATTATTTGCATCTCTGCGCCCTGTCACAGTTTTAGAGGAAAACATTCTAAAGATGGACAATAATCTTATCGAAAAGAGGAATTTGGGTACACCTCGATCTTTACGTTCAATATTGTTTGAATTAACTGTTTTGTCTTGAAAACGTATAAAGCAATAATTTTATTTATTTTACATATTTAGGCTACATGTTGATATAATAACATTGAAAATTCATAGTACCAATAAAAATGAAATTTATGGGGCATGCAAAATACCTCTCTAATGACTCATAACAACAGAGTAAGCGTGTTTGAATAATAAAAAGAAGTTTACTAAAAATAATAAACCTTGAGGTGTATTTCTGACTTGAATTTTTTGGCCCGTTTTTCTCTATTCTTTTTTTTTTGACAATTATTCTGTAGTATTTGGCCATTTTTCTCTATTCTGTAAACCCCATTCAGACCTTCGGTTATAGTAATCAATCCAGAGCGTAAATCAATTTTCCGCGGGAACTTTGGATTACCTCCTATCTGGAGTACCACTACTTTTGTAGTGTAATACAGTTAAGCAACTATTACTGTAAGCAGAGATATTTATACTTATATTTCTGCTGTAAGCAACTGTGCATGTGCATGTGCATGTGCAGGAAACAATTTACAGTGAGAATTTCTGTGCAAAAACCAGTGTAATTACTCAATAGTTCCCGAGATACTGGTATAAGGATATCAACGTTATTACTTAATAAAACACTAATCTATGTACATCACCGTGTAAGAGTCTATGCACTGTGGCATTTACTAAAAGTCTAAAACCTCCTCACGTGCCACCAAGATATCAATATTACTGTCACAATCTGTTACTTGATACACACATCAAAAGGATATGAAGACTAAAGCAGAGACATATATACACGTATATATGTCTCTGACTAAAGGTGCTTACTTTCTCAGTTGTTCTAAGCCAATAACACTCCTTTATAAGTACTTTTTATTAGTCCCCTTACACTGCACCAGTAGACTTATAAATCATATTTCAATAAAGAGATACAATAAATTGAATTAGGGATAAACGGTTTAATTTACGTTTAACACTTTGCGCATATAGCTCATACATGTCAAAGCAAGCCGGTTACATTTTTAACTTGAAAGACCCTTCAACAAAGAGTTATTTAAGTGATCTACTCTAGTAATCCCACTCTGGGACTATTATACTAACAATATAGTATGCCCCAGTCCACTCAATGTTCCCTTAATGTTAACAAGGATTTATATAGTAAATAGTAAATAACTAAATAAATCCTTGTTGTAAAGCTGGTCAAAAACAATCTCCCATGCAGAGTAATCGGTCCTTTCTCTCTCTCATGGGAGATTGGGTCAAAAACTGAAATCAATTTTTCGCGGGAACTTTTGATTACCTCCCTTGTGATAAAGGTCAAAAACTGTAACCATGCAGTCAGACTACTTAAACCAATGCAATGTTAAAAAAAAAAAACATGTAGGGCCGGATGCACTCACTTTCGCCAAAAGTTTGCAAAATGAGTTTTTTTTCTTCAGTGTAACATACAATTAATCGCTCGTTTGCATCTTTGTTTACATTTGTGACGTCACATGGGCTGGGTTATATTTGTATTTGTACTGTGGAAGTGGGTATTTTGAAACACATCTCATCACATGTGTGTTTACTATTAGGATTTTCCCTAGCTTCTTCATTTATAAAAGTCTGGATACATGTCATGAGTTTAGTTTATGCTGATGGGAATACTAGAGTAAGTATCCTCGTATTATGGGTTTTCGTGCTATTATAAGGTTCATCATAACCTTTTGGCTAATATGGCTGTATTTACACCACAAATTTTACTCTTCGAGTACAGACAAACCGGTATCAGGTCCGTTTGCCCTGATCAATGTTCGCCCTGGGTCCGTTCACCCTGAGTTCGTTCGCCCATAGAGTCTGTTCGCCCTGGGTTCGTTCTCCATACTTTTATTAAAAAATATTAATATTAAGGGTATTAAAATTTAATAAACTTATTCAGATATTTATATGGTATAAATTCTTGAAATTCACGAAAACACATGGAAATATTTAAAACTGATGGTGCGTTTGGTTAGTTCAGAGACATATAATACAAGTGTATTATATGTCTCTGGTTAGTTTTGTAGCATTAATTGTTCGTAATAATAATTCTCACTGATTGTTGAAATAATTGTCTTTGATGGATTAATTATAAAAACAACATTTTGTTTTGATAACTAGTCAGCTTGGAATGAGTAAAAACAATGATGTACAAATTGTAAAACACGAAAAGGATTTATAAATTCATTTACTATTATACTGCGTAAATTGACTGACTAGAATGATAAAATTGTTAACAAATATCAATAAAGATAAATACATTTATCCAGTATTCTACTATGCAAATCAAAGGAAAATAATTATTTGGTTGCAGCAATACAAATAATTTTTCAACAAACTTTAACATACTCTGTTCAAATAATATACATTATGCAACTAGACAACAATAAAAAAAAAAAAAATCAGGGCAAATGGACCCTAGATAAACAGGTATTAGGTCGAACAGGTACTAGGGTGAACATGAATCAGGGCGAACAGACCCGGATTCAGACAAACCTGTGCACCTGTAAAAGTTTTAAGGCATGGCAGGAACTAGATAATTGTATTTTAAATGCATTTTATGTTTCAGAAAAGCATAAACTTTTCTGGATCTTGCTATTCATTTTTTTCATTCCTGCAGAAGGTGCCAAAATAAACTTAAGTTGGGAAAGAGGTTTGAGAAGCTCCCCTTATTTTGTTATCTTCTGCAGATTGGAAAAAAAATGCACATCAAAATCCAGGTAAGTTATTAATTTTCTGAAACATGTACTATTTATATTTTTTATTATATATATCTAGGTCCTGCCATGCCTTAAAACTTTCCTATATGCATCAGTTTGTCTGTACTCATAGATTTTGTGGTGTAAACATGGCCATATTTTTCAATTCCTTTTGATGAACCTTAAGAACGCATTGTGACGTCACAATTTCCATTGAAAAAGCACGCATAGTACGAATTCATATGACGTACGAAAACATATACATGTAATTTGACCATATATGCATCTAAAAATTGAATGCTTCTTTTTGTAAATTTATTGGGGTGTAAAAGTGTTGACCGAGGTACATATTGTATGAAGCGCGGAAGCGCTTCATTCTAAAAATGTGCGCATGGTCAACGCTTTTACAACCCTATAAAATTACTAAAAGAAGCATTCAATACTTATAATAACATTTTTTTTCTTCTATCATGAAAACACGATTTCTATCAAGTTTTTATTTTATTTACACATGTACCTGTGCAATATATTGTGGAAGCTCGTATCATCATGAATGTTACATTTCATTATGAAATGAAGATTAATTTCAGAATGACGTGAGGTTGCTGTTAGCCAATCAAAATAACGTATCATAATGAAACGTACAAGTAATGTGATTATTTACAGTTAATGAGTTATATATCACGTCGTCGTCATTGTCCGAAGACACTTGGTTTCCGGACAATAACTTTAGTATTAGTTAATAGAAATCTATGAAATTTAAATACAAGGTTTATAACCACAAAAGGAAGGATGGGATTGATTTTGGGGGTTATGGTCCTAACAGTTTAGGAATTAGGTGCCAAAAAAGGAGCCCAAATAAGCATTTTTCTAGTTTTCAGACAATAACTTGTGGAACGGTGTATGGATCTCACTGAAAAGAGGGACGAAAGATTCCAGAGGGACAGTCAAACTCATAGATTGAAAACAAACTGACAACGCCATGGCCAAAAATAAAAAGCCAAACAGACAAATAATAGTACAGATGACACAACATAGAAAACTAAAGAACTAAAGACTAAGCAACACGAACCCCAACAAAAAACTGGGCGTGATCTCAGGTGCTCCAGAAGGGTAAGAAGATCCTGCTCCACATGTGGCACCCTTCGTGTTGCTTATGTTATTACAAATCCGGTAAATAGTCTAATTCGGTAGGTCAAATTCATGAAAATTGAAGGGTATTGTAGTTTCGACATAAGGAACATATCCGATATCATCTGTGAAACAGTTATTCCATAACGGTCAACCAACTCGTGATGAAACTGTACAAGTTTCCATATCACAAAGGGATGGTTAGAATTGGCTTTGAGGGGGTAATGGCTCAAACCGTTTAGGAATTAGGGGCAAAAAAGGGTGAAAAACAAGGGTTTTCTTGTTAATGGACAATCACTTTTAAGTACAATGTTAAATTTGGATTACCTCCTTCACACTGCTTTTAAATTATAAAGAAACTTTGTATTGTCTTGAGGTGATTAGCTGTCAATCTATTTTTAGAAGTTACTAATAAAAATGCTGATTAAAGATATATTATTTTTAGACATGATTATGTATGTCATTTTCTATTTTAAGACTTTTATGATGTATTTAAATGGGTAATTATGGTTGCAAACTCCATTGGAAATTTGAATTGAGATAATGACCATATCTTGAGGGAAAGATTTTTTTTTTTGGAAAAAGGGGAGGGGGGAGGTGAAAAGGTGAAAAAAATGGGGGGTGGGGGGGGGGGGGTCGGGGGGGGGGGGGTGGGGTTGTTAAAAAGAAATTGGGGGGGAAACATTTTTTTTTTCTAATTACAGATTTCAGAAATTGAAAAGAAAATTTCTTCAAATATTATTTTCTTTTTGTAAAAAAAAAAAGGGGTGGGGTGAAAAAAAGGGGGGGGGGGGGGGGGGGGTGCACATGAATTTTATTTTTGGTGGGGGTCAATTCGCAACAGCATATTGTATTGCACAAAAGCAAAAAAAAAGTGGGGTAATTTTTTTTTTTCTGTGTCAGAAACCTATTATGTGTCAAACATTTAATTTCAATCCAAATTCAGACCTGTATCAAGCACGAATATTGTGTCCATTTTTGCCCCAACTGTTCAGGGATGGACCTCTGCGGTCGTATCCAGCTGCGCTCAGAGAAGCAATTTATTTAGGCAGAAAATAAGGTTCATCAGAGCATTTACTCAAGTACAGACAAACATGTGCCCCTGGAAAAGTTTAAATGCATGGCAAGACCTACATGTAGATACACAATAATTAAATACATTAAAATTTCAAACAAAATTTTCCTGGATTTTTAAGATCCTTTTTCCCATCCAGCAGGTACCAAAATAAATTATGAAGACCATTTAATTCTGAGAAGGGCCTAGTAATTTTGATACAGTCAGAATTATTCATGTAAAGGGTATTTTTTATCAAATCAAATGTTTTATTGGATAAAGCACATATAATAAATGATATTGCGTAATCCAACTGTACAACATATTGCATGACTATATATACAACAATGAACTTGACAAATAATTTATATAAAACACATAATGCATAACAAGTGAAAATTAATGATGCATGTATGCTATAACAGCAAGTCTATTTTTTGTATAGTACTTATACCAACTGACACTAAGCATTATAGTGAATTTCAAAAGGTACAAATGTAGGTTGTCTCAAATAATTACATATTTGTTGGGCATTACCTAAATTATTTGGATTTAGTAGATATACAATGTATTAAGAGTTGATACATTGCCAAAATTGCACAAGGGCATTTTGGAACAGTGTTGGGGCAGAAGGGTGTGGCTGAGGGCACCAAGGGTGCAGTACCCTTCTATTTTTGGCTAATGAGAACGCTGGAATATATTTATTTCCAACTTAAAGATTTCCAGATTATTATTTTTCTCTCAGACTATGCCCAGTAGCAGATCCTGGATGGGGGGTTCTGGGCGTTGGAACCCCCCTTTTTTTTGACGATCAATGCTTTTGAATGGGGACATATGGTTGGAACCCCCTTTTAAAAATGGCTGGATCTGCCCCTTGTGCCCTTACCTAAAATAAATGGTGTTTTAACATTGAAATCCCATTGTTTCAACATTGAAAACCATTTACCAGTACCATTAAATGACGAAAATGTCCATTAAATTTCAATTTTTTATTAGTAAATTTTTTCAAACCATTTCCTAACTTGCCATTTACCCCGTATTTACCATTTATTGAAAAAAATGGCATTTCAATTGTTGGATAAAGCTATTGAAAAGCCATTTAGAAAAGAAGGGTAGATACCTCCAGTTCAGTTGAAACAACCATTTTTATTCCATTTTTTAGCTCACCTGGCCCAATGGGCCAAGTGAGCTTTTCTCATCACTTGGCGTCTGTCGTCGTTCGTCGTCGTCAGTCGTCGTTAACTTTTACAAAAATCTTCTCCTCTGAAACTACTTGCCCTGAAATTTTCAGATGAATCAGACAACCTGTTGTTGGGTTGCTGCCCCTGAATTGGTAATTTTAAGGAAATTTTGCCGTTTTTGGTTATTATCTTGAATATGATAATAGATAGAGATAAACTGTAAACAGCAATAATGTTCAGCAAAATAAGATCTACAAATAAGTCAACTTGACCAAAATGGTCAGTTGACCCCTAAAGGAGTTATTGCCTTTTATAGTCAATTTTTAACCATTTTTCGTAATTTTTTGTAATCTTTTACAAAAATCTTCTCCTCTGAAACTACTAAGACAAATTTAACCAAACTTGTCCACAATCATCATTAGGGTATCTAGTTTAAAAAATGTGTCCGGTGACCCGGCCAACCAACCAAGATGGCCGCCATGGCTAAAAATAGAACATAGGGGTAAAATGTAGATTTTGGCTTATATCTCTGAAACCAAAGCATTTAGAGCAAATCTGACATGGGGTA